AGGGAAGCTAATAGCAATAGTATCACCACAGGCACCACGTTCAGCTCCAGAATACTCCCCTTTGCCAACATGAAAACCCACACCTTTTCTGCAGCCACCCCCCAGGCGCTGCAATGGCTGTGCGCCTCCGAACTGTGCTCTTAAACCCAGCAAGATTCAAACGGGAATGCGCGCCTTGTTGGCTGTACTCTACCCAACAGGAGAGATCTCCCAGTGAGAGGCCTGGCCTCAAGGCTGAGTGAAGGTGTTTTCAGAGCCTGAACTAACCTCCTGCGTGGGGAGGGATACAAAGATTAGTCTCAACAAGTGCAGAGATCTTGGAAACCCAGGATTAACCGATGCTGTTTAACACACCCCTGGCTTCATTGATGAGAAAGCACAGAGTGGGGCCTCTCTCTTACCATCCTCAGAAAGGGGGAAATAATAACTAAAAATCCAAGTGCACGTTTACACTTCTGGATAAAGGAAGTGTCAGAAGAAAGTTACCATAGGCACCTCAAACTGTCCAACTAGCTTAACTTTAGCAACTCTGAGTCCCCAAAATTTGACTTACACAGAGATAAAGAATATTAATGTATCAACAGGCCACTCATTGAGCAGAGAGCCACCTACCTCTTCATTTTTCATGGAGATCCTCTGCCGAAAACTCACTGATTTCCTGTTCTCATCTACCTCATAATCCTCTTCATTCATCCATTCGTTGAATACATCCGTGTCCAAAATCCACTTGGCGTGAACCTAAAGAACAGAGCGACATATCGACACGCTGATGCTCTTTGAAAACATAATGACAGACCTCACAGGATGAAGTACTGGCAGCTCTGTTATCAGGGTCTGAACATCCAAATATCTCCTAGTGGTTTTACACACCACAGATGATGGTTTCATGAAGCAATACCAAAAAAGATGAACACGGCCATAAGTCTACTGAATGCCATGTCTGTTCCTCAGTCATCTTTAAGCCTCCCGAAGCGTGAGGTCAGTTCTCACAGCCGGCACAACAGCTCTGCATTAAGAGTGGACTTTGGATGCTGACAACTACCATCAAAATCATCTAAATATCCAGATCACCTTAGGAGATGTGGCACAAAAGACCAAAAAAGATTAAGAAGCATGGGCCATATCTGGAAAGATTTATTATCTTGATTCAAAATATCAATCTTCAAATAAAGTTCTAGTTCACATAGCTGAATTCTTGAGCTTTAGAATCATACAATCTATGGTTTACACAACCTGTTATATCTTACCATTTATAGTAAGATTTATACACAAAAAGCCTGACAGGTAACTACTTGGAATAAGCGGTGTTTGAACAGAAATCAGGTTATTTTCTGACCTCAGCTGCTCAGACCAACAGTGCATACACAGACCAACATCGCATGTTATGTATAGAAGAGTAAGCCCAGTAAAAGGACGATAGAGCATTTACCGCTGTGATTGTAACTGTTCTGTACGGTTCAGCTGCAGTGAGGTAAATCAAAGGCAAATCATTTCTGCAGAAAGAGAACTAATTGTGTAGAGACCCTAAACACGGCTGCTGATCGTGGTTTGAGCGCTCGCCTGTTCAGCAGACTGAGACGCGCTGACTTCTTGCACATCACGACAGCAGGTAAGAGCAGAGCTGCCGCTAAATCGAACCTTTCCCTAAAGGAAGGTGAGGTATCACCTTCACAGGTCTTGAAACAGCTACTGGTTCTCTCAGACACTCCCAGGCTGACCCTCACCCTAGGGACAGCTGCATTCATACCCTAGGATTCACCAGCAATGCCGAGGCTTTGGGAGAACTTAGCGAAATCAAGGACACACACTGACCGGTGCCCTGTACCAACAGCACACAGAAGCTGGTATCTACCGTGGTACTGGGCTAAGACAAGCTCACTCAAGAGCTTCTGTAGCAGTGTGAAACCAGGGGACGGGGAGCCCAGGGCCACACACAGTCTGCCACCCAGACCACAGCTCTGCTTTGATTCCAACAGCTGAATCCGCTGGAAATAACGCTGCCATTACAGTCACTCCAAGAGAACACACAAGACTCCAATGGTACCATAGACTTCAAAAATTCAGATTTGTTCTCCTAAACAAACTGCTTAACTTCCACATTCTCCAACTCCTAGTATTTTTGGTCACTTCTGTATTACAGAATCAGATGAACCGTCTGCACACCAAACAGGTTTCAAGCCCTGTACTACGCGTGCGATAGTCTCGGTTTCTAACCTGACAGTCCTTTTCTCTAATAATATTCTTCCAAAACCATCATGAAGGCATGGTCTTTTCCCCACTTCCTCTCCCCAAACGCTGTACAATGCCACTGCCCCTTCTAACGAGCTGTCAGCTTTCACCCCAGAGATGGCTGCACTCAGCAGTAAGGGAGGGACTTACCTTTAACAGAAAACACCCCAAGCCACGCCAAAATAAACACGGTAACTCTGGCACTATCAGGAATGCACAAGTGCCTCCTTTTCACTGACAAAATACAGTATTTTTTCAACAGTGCTCCTCCCAGACCAAAGAAAAGTTTTAACGTTTTCATTACAGCTCTAGAAATACCACTTTGCTTTTCCATGTATATGGAAATACAGCCCTTGTTCCTCAGCACCCCGCTAAAACATCTCTAGTAGCACCTGAGCATGAGCTGTACCAGTACAGCAACTCTGGGAAACTGTTTGAGAGAGACTTACCTTCCATGGCTTTTCAGGAATTGGAGGATCTTCAATTTCAGCATCTATTTCATTGGCATGAACCCAAGTGTCATAGCTAACGAGAGGAGTCAAGAGAAAACAAAATTGGTCCCCACGGCTCTTCATCCAGAAAGATCACCAGCAGGAA